TTTTGGGATAGATTTGAAGCATAGTTATATCATATTGTATTCAATACTAAAAAGATAATGTAGATTTAAAATCAAATTAAATAATTATATGTAAAAAAATAAAGTTCATGGATAGAATTAGAATTTCAATAGATCAATTTGATTTAATAATAGGTCAAATTAAAAGTTTAATTATGTTTAAGAATTTATTTTAATAAATTAAGAATTTAATTAAGTGCAAAGACTTAATGATATTTTAAATTAGTCAAATTAATTTTATTAGGGATTTAATTGATAAAAAAATAAATTTAGGATCCAATTTGAGCTTAATTTAAAAGTTTAGAATTTTAGAGAACCAAACTTAATTTTTATAAAGCTAATTGATTCAAATCAGAAGTAAAATTGCAAAAATAATTAGAAATTTAGGTTAAATTGAGGGCTAGATTGAAGAAATTTACAACCAATGACCTTTGTGAAAAAGTTACCAAACTCTAGGGATTAAATTAATCGAACTTACAGGTGAAATTAAGGTTTAATTTATAAAAATCCAAAATCAATGATCAAAATAAATAAGATGTTGAAATTTAGGGCTAGTGTTGAAGTTCAATAAGGGTAAAATTGCATAAAATTAAAAATTTTAAGTCAATCAGGGGTGTAGTTAAAGGAATCAAAAGCTAAAAGATTAAATTGAACTTTTTCCAAATCCCTAAATTAAAACTCTAAAATCATTTTATTTAAATGAAACAACGTGTTTTTTTTCCAAAACGATGTTGTTTTTTACCCAAACAATAAAATAAAAAAAAATAGACCAGACAATACACTATTCATCCTCTTCTTCTTTTGTCTGAAGAAGTCTATTTTTAAAGTGCATTTAATGATTTGTTTTTTCATTAAATTTGACAAAACATATGCTAATATAATGATTTGACATTTGACTACAATCTGGTATGGTTCTTTCAAGCTAATTGACATAACAACCATTGTGACACTATTACAAAAAAGCCAACTCATGTAGTTTTTAGTTGCCAACTTTTTCAGTTCATGATTGCATCTTTGAGCTAATAGTTAAGATCCTTATCAGTTGAATCAAGAGCTAAGATTTGTACTTAATAAATAAAAAATGTTTCTCTTCCACCTCTTATAAATAGGCTTGGATTCCAAGCATTGAAGGAGGACAAATTTGGGTGTAAAGTTGGCCAAAAATCAATTGTTTCTTAGTTTTTTCCTTCTCCGCTAGCCCTCTACTTCCACCGTGCCTTTGTTGTCATTGCCATCACTAGTTACACGTCGAGCATCTGAGCACCACCAATTAGCTATCCCTCACAGTAGGTACCCCCTCCCACGCCCCCAACCCTGACCGCAAATTTAAGTTTTGTATGAAAATGCTGAAACTGAAAATTTAAATTTTGTATGAAAATGCTGAAAAATTAATCACATGGTCACTAGGCCAGGTCAAAGCAGTGACCATGTGAAACTAGACTAGACCTATTTCAGACTAGCCTACAAAGCTAGCCTTGGTCTAACCCAACATTTCTTTTAAAAAAGAAAGAGGTTGTAGGGTCGTCAGTTGACCCAACCAAACTAGAGTTGACTTATTTCAGCCTATCTTGAATGGTTGGGTTGGGTGCATCCCAATATATTTAATAATAAAATAAAATAAAAAATAAAAATGTGTATATAAAAAAACTTTAAATTTTTCAAGGGGCATTTAAAAATATGTGTTGGTTCCTACATGTCTTTCCAATAATTTTATATAATATTAGGTTATAGACTTATACTGTAAGATACAAAATTGATAGTAAAAATATCTGATTTTCTTCAAAAAAAATTTAAAATAAAAAAAATTAATTTTCTCTTTCAAAAAAATATGTTTCTGTCTTCATGTATACAACCAAATCCTAAAAATATTTCATGTATATTTTCAAAAAAGATAAAATCATATTTTTATCATGTTTTAAAAATACAAAAATAAATATTATAAGAAATTTATGATTATCTATTAGAGTTTGTCTAAAATACAAAAAAACAAAGCATAGCAATTATTCTATTCGAAATGTTAAGAATTAGTTATATTTAGAAAAGAAATGTAAGACTAAATTTATACCTTAAAACAGTTAAATTTTAACCTAATAAGATAAAGATTTTCTCATGAAAAAAATCTACCTTAAACATTGGACATTGTCAAAAGATAAAAACATGACCTAGAAAAACAATCAAAAAATAATGTAACTTATATTAAGTGTGTGTACTGGAGGTGATGTGTCTTTCTTTTATATAACTAGTCTTTTATATAGACCCTTACATACAATTAGATTTTCTAGTGACTATAACATTAGGTGATGATTCCTGAACCTTATAATTATAATTTTATAATTACCCCAAAACTCTCTTTTCAATACCATCTCAGAAGATAGACCTGCCATTCTCGATATTGTACATGTCATGGTAAATAAGATCATATAACAACATGTGTGCACACGCGCAGATATATATTAAAATGTAAAAATCATTACTAAAAAATTAACTAACATATTTTAATACTCATGCACTAAATATAATTGCCGAAAGAAAAGTGAATAAATAAATAAAAGTTGAATACATTGTTATATAACTTCTTTCTTTAATCATTAAAAATTAATAATCACTAAGTCCATTCTTAATAATAAAAGAAACCATGGAGGTTTATTACAATATGTATAGAATGATAAGCTCATATTTGATATTTAAAAAAAAATCAACTTTTTTCATATATTAGTTTTTTTACTGTGGCTTCACATGTGTGATATTCAAATTTTATATTTTTATAAATTAAAATAAAACAATTTTTATTTATAAAGATATCTTTTCATTAATTTTACATGCAAAAAATTATCTCATAACAATTTTAATGATATATTTTTTTAAACTAATTTTTTAAAATTACAATTAAAATTGTTTTTCATAAACCTATTTTCTTACCCTATGACTACAATACCAACTCTTAAAAATCTACCTCGTAATCACAAACTCAAAAGTCTAATACGCCCAGAATTGATTCTCATGGATCATAGAAAACACCACGAAATAAACCTCACAAATACTTTAAAGATTGCTTTACAACTTGTTGGAACTTCATGCAGTGCTATTGTGCTACTGTCGTGACTCTCCTCCCAAAGAAATAATCGAAAACTCTTATTTAAGTACTTGCTTATGTCAATTTTGTATTCTAAAATAATTCAAATCCAATTTTGAAAAGGAAAATTACCAAATAGTTAGTCAAAGTGTATTAGATGATTATAATTACCCCATAATTATCTTATCTTAGGCTTGAATATTCCACAGACTTTATATGAGTCTCTATATCTGCAAAATTATAATAGAAATCTCCTTGATTATATTTCCAATATTAATATCATAATAGTGTAATAAATCCCT